ACACCCCCAACCCTATCACACCCCGACCCCTATCACACTCATCACACCCTTACCCATCACACCCCCAACCCTATCACACTCATCACACCCAAACTCCCAGCACCAACAATACCCATCACACCCCCAACCCTATCACACCCCCAACCCTATCACACTCATCACACCCAAACTCCCAGCACCAACAATACCCATCACACCCCCAACCCTATCACACCCCCAACCCTATCACACTCATCACACCCAAACTCCCAGCACCAACAATACCCATCACACCCCCAACCCTATCACACTCATCACACCCAAACTCCCAGCACCAACAATACCCATCACACCCCCAACCCTATCACACCCCCAACCCTATCACACTCATCACACCCAAACTCCCAGCACCAACAATACCCATCACACCCCCAACCCTATCACACCCCGACCCCTATCACACTCATCACACCCAAACTCCCAGCACCAACAATACCCATCACACCCCCAACCCTATCACACTCATCACACCCAAACTCCCAGCACCAACAATACCCATCACACCCCCAACCCTATCACACCCCAAACCCTATCACACTCATTACACCCAAACTCCCAGCACCAACAATACCCATCACACCCCCAACCCTATCACACCCCCAACCCTATCACACTCATCACACCCAAACTCCCAGCACCAACAATACCCATCACACCCCCAACCCTATCACACCCACAACCCTATCACACTCATCACACCCAAACTCCCAGCACCAACAATTCCCATCACACCCCCAACCCTATCACACTCATCACACCCAAACTCCCAGCGCCAACAATACCCATCACACCCCCTTCTTCTCGCATTGCACCCTTGCCCCCCCTCCTATCACAGCCCTACACCCATCACACTCCCTCACTCTCGTTGTTCTAATTGCATCTGCTGGACACTGCTGCTGATTGAATTAAGAGCCGGGTTCTGGCTGCGCCTGTGTTTGACACGAGATGCTAATGCCTCGGATGTGATCCTTCAGTTGCCCGCATCTCGCGACCGTTGAGACACGCGTTACTCAACCCCGCGCCCTGGCTAAGGGGGGGGCGCGCGTGGCGTCGGGCAATAGTGGACGGGGTGGTGGGGAGTGGGCTGCCTGGATGGGTGAGGGAACCGGAGGGGAGGCAGTGGGAGAAAGGTGAGGGGAGGTGAGTGTGGTGAGTGAGGGGAATGGTGAGATAGTGGTGGTGGAATGGGGAGGGGTGAGTGAGGGGAGGGCTGAGGGAGGGGTGGTGAGTGAGGGGTGAGGGAGGGGTGGTGAGTGAGGGGAGGGGTGGGGGAGGGTTTGTGAGTGAGGGGTGAGGGAGGGGTGGTGAGTGAGGGGTGTTGAGTGAGGGGAGGGCTGAGGAAGGGGTGGTGAGTGAGGAAGGGGTGGTGAGTGAGGGGTGAGGGAAGGGTGGTGAGTGAGGGGAGGGGTGAGGAAGGGGTGGTGAGGGGTAAGGGGTGAGGAGGGGGTGGTGAGGGGTAAGGGACGGGTGAGGAAGGGGTGGTGAGTGAGGGGTGAGGGAGGGGTGATGAGTGAGGAGGGGTGAGGAAGGGGTGGTGAATGATGGGAGGGGTGAGGAAGGGGTAGTGAGAGAGTGAGGGGTAAGGGAGAGATGGTGAGTGAGGGGTGAGGGAGGGGTGGTGAATGAGGGGAGGGGAGGGGTGATGGAGGGGTGGTGCATGAGGGGAGTGGAAGTGCTTCCGGGTCCCGCCCGCTGTTTCCGGGTCACGTGTTGTTGGTGTTGCTGCTGATCGCCGCGCGCTGAGGTGCGGACCGCGACCCCTGACCCCCTGACCCAGCGCCGTGACCCCGTGCTGGGATCGTGGTTGTTGTTGTTGTGATTGTTGTTGTTCTTTGCTGCTGGTGAAATCTGCCGACGTCGCGCGGTACCGCCTCAGCTGCCACTGTTGAGCCACGAGCGACTCTCCCACCGCCGCGACCCCTTCCCCGCCACCTTCCACGGCCGCTCTCCCTCCACGCGCCCATCGCCCCCTGCCAGCGACCCCCCCCCCACCCGGCATCCCACTCATCCCACTCTTCTTCCACCCCCAGCTCCTCATTCCCAGCGCTCGTGGCACTCCTCCCTCTCACGTCGCAGCCTCCCCCCGGTCTCCACGCGCTCTCACACCCCGACCCATCACACCACCTACCCCTATCATACCCCTACCCATCACACCCCTATCCATCACACCACCTACCCCTATCATACCCCTACCCATCACACTACCTACCCCTATCATACCCCTACCCATCACACCCCTACCCATCACACCCCTACCCATCACACCCTTACCCATCACACCACCTACCCCTATCACACCCCTATCCATCACACCCCTACCCATCACACCACCTACCCCTATCACACCCCTACCCATCACACCACCTACCCCTATCACTACCCTACCCATCACACCACCTACCCCTATCACACCCCTACCCATCACACCACCTACCCCTATCACACCCCTACCCATCACACCCTTACCCATTACACCACCTACCCCTATCATACTCCTACCCATCACACCCCTACCCCTATCACATCCCTACCCATCACACCACCTACCCCATCACACCCCTACCCATCACACCACCTACCCCTATCATACCCCTACCCATCACACCCCTATCCATCGCACCACCTACCCCTATCACACCCCTATCCATCACACCCCTACCCATCACACCACCTACCACTATCACACCCCTACCCATCACACCACCTACCCCTATCACTACCCTACCCATCACACCACCTACCCCTATCACACCCCTACCCATCACACCACCTACCCCTATCACACCCCTACCCATCACACCCTTACCCATTACACCACCTACCCCTATCATACTCCTACCCATCACACCCCTACCCCTATCAAATCCCTACCCATCACACCACCTACCCCATCACACCCCTACCCATCACACCACCTACCCCTATCATACCCCTACCCATCACACCCCTACCCCTATCACATCCCTACCCATCACACCACCTACCCCTATCACACCCCTACCCCATCACACCCCTACCCATCACACCACCTACCCCTATCATACCCCTACCCCATCACACCCCTACCCATCACACCACCTACCCCTATCATACCCCTACCCATCACACCACCTACCCCTATCACACCCTTACCCATCACACCCCTACCGCTATCACACCCCTACCCATCACCCCACCTACCCCTATCATACCCCTACCCATCACACCACCTACCCCTATCACACCCTTACCCATCACACCCCTACCGCTATCACACCCCTACCCATCACACCACCTACCCCTATCACACCCCTACCCATCACACCACCTACCCCTATCACACCCCTACCCATCACACCACCTACCCCTATCATACCCCTATCCATCACACCACCTACCCCTATCACACCACCTACCCCTATCACACCCCTACCCATCACACGACCTACCCCTATCACACCCCTACCCATCACACCACCTACCCCTATCACACCCCTACCCATCACACCACCTACCCCTATCACACCCCTACCCATAACACCACCTACCCCTATCACACCCTTATCTATCACACCACCTACCCCTATCACACCCCTACCCATCACATCACCTACCCCTATCACACCCGTACCCATCACACCACCTACCCCCATCACACCCCTACCCATCACACCACCTACTCCTATCACACTCCTACCCATCACACCACCTACCCCTATCACACCACCTACCCCTATCACACCCCTACCCATCACACGACCTACCCCTATCACACCCCTACCCATCACACCACCTACCCCTATCACACCCCTACCCATCACACCACCTACCCCTATCACACCCCTACCCATAACACCACCTACCCCTATCACACCCTTATCTATCACACCACCTACCCCTATCACACCCCTACCCATCACATCACCTACCCCTATCACACCCGTACCCATCACACCACCTACCCCCATCACACCCCTACCCATCACACCACCTACTCCTATCACACTCCTACCCATCACACCACCTACTCCTATCACACTTTTACCCATCACACCCCCTACCCCTATCACACCCCTACCCATCACACCACCTACTCCTATCACACTCCTACCCATCACACCACCTACTCCTATCACACTTTTACCCATCACACCCCCTACCCCTATCACACCCCTACCCATAACACTACCTACCCCTATCACCCCTACCTCCCATCACACTCATCACACCCTTACCCATCCCCGCTCCCCTCGGCACCGCACATCCCTTGCGCCCCCAGAATCCCCGTCCCCAGCTCCTCTCCACTCAAAGATCCTCTCTCCTTTCTTACACCTCGCCGGCCTCTCCAACGCTCTCTTGTCTCGCGTCACCTCCTGTCTCTCAACTTCCCTGTCTCCATCTCTCCCAGTTCCTCCCTCTCCGATCTGTAACTTCCTCTTCACCCCCCCCACCCCCTACTTCCCCCCGGCCTTCACCACCCCTCTTATCACCCTGCTCCCCATGTCTCAGCACGCCGCCACCGCTTTATCTCTTGTGTGGCCTCCGCTGTGCTGATGACGCCTTACGTTCATCATCAACATCACCACCCCCCTCTACGTCACGTCTCACGGTCACCATCTCAAGGTCCAGACACGGCGGCGCAGGACGTTTTTGCGTCCCTGGATTCGTGAGAGCGAGCGAGGGGACATCGCCGAGCGGCAGCGCGTTCGCAACTCGTTGCAGGCGCTCGTGGTTCGAGCTCAACGGGCCTCTCTGGTTAATGCTGCACGTCTTGTTTTGTTACACATCGTGGTCGACCAACCGAGCGCTTATCCAGCCTCAACCCCGCTCAGCTTCCGATACTCGGATAGATTATCGGGCGCATTCTGGTTGATTTGGGCATTGCCATTTGCCCATCAGCCGTGCGTTTTTTGTCAAACGTCGCGCTTTCTTAAACAACAATTCCCTCTCGCCCCACCCGACTTCGGCTGCCGTGTCTGCAGATGTCAAATTACAAGCGCACAAGCTTCGACGATGAGGAGGGGACCGACGTGGTGATAGAGGAAGGTGTGGCCGACCACCCTCCACAGGTCAGCACTCACCCCAACCACCTAGAGACACCGGTCACACGGAGACACAGGTCACAGGAGAACATCGGTCACACGGAGACACCGGTCAGACTGGCACTTGAGAGACGCTGGTCTCACCGTCTGTTGTGCTGTTTGGTGACACACTGGTCACGCTGCCTGTGTGCTGTGGGTGAGAGTAGGTGCGCTTTGGGTACAGCCGCCTGACAGGATGGGCTCCCGGCCTGCTGAGGAGACGAACTCGTCTGGAGCTGCTGCTGCTCACGCTCACGCCCGTCATGGCTGTTGCCCTTGCGTCCTGTCTCATCTTCATCACCATCACCAGCAACGGTAGGTGATGCCGTCACCACCATCATATCACCATCACGTCACTATCACCAGCAACGGCTAATGGTGTCGTCATTGCTATCACACCACCATCACCAGCAATGGTAGGTGGTGTCATCACCCCCATCACATCATCAGCTAGGGTAGGTGGCGCTATCATCTCCATCCCATCACCAGCAACGTAACCGTCAAATCGTTATGAAATCATTCCATTTGCACATTTGGTATTCGCGCCATTGTTAAAGCACAAGGCAGTCACGAAGGCGCTACGCTTCGCCAACAAATTCTGCAGCTTCACACGAGCGTAGCAGTTTTGGTTTGTGATTTTTACTCCGTCAGGTAATTTGCAAGTGCCCTCTACATGCAAATCCTTAATCCTCGAGCGGGGCAGTCACCCTTCCCCGCACCACCAATTAGCACGTTTGGCTACATACGGTGCGAAAGAAGTTCAACATACATACACACAGGCGCCACGTGCGACCAAGCAATCAACCAGGCCTGATGTGACACCAGGCAACCACCGCCTTCCCCCCCCCATCTCCGCACCCCCCCCACTGCCCCCCCCCCCCCAGACCCGTCGCGTTCAGTGTGCCTGTCCGAGTCGTGCGTGGGGGTGGCGGCGCGCATCCTCGCCTCCATGGACCGTTCCGTGAGCCCGTGCCAGGACTTCTTCACGTACGCGTGCGGCGGGTGGGCTCGCAGGAACCCCCTGCCGGAGGGCCGCTCGCGCTGGAACACCTTCAACAACCTGTGGGAGCAGAACCAGGGGGTGATGCGCGGACTGCTCGGTGAGCGACGCTAACGACGTTCGGGGTACGCGCGTGCGCGCGTGCTCGCTCGCGCGCGGCGTTCTTGCCGCCGCCGCCGCCGCCGCCGCGCCTGCACGGCGGCGTGGCGTGATTGGTGATACGAAGGGATGGCCCCCCCGCGACCGGTTCGGACGTCGCTCGCCACCGACGTTAGCCGCGGTCGTGGATTGATGTCAACTCCCTCGCCTGATGTGCAGGAGGTCGTGGGTTCGATCCCGACTCTGGTGCCTGCTTTATATTTGTAGTTTGCAGTGTCTCTCTCCCCGCGTGGTCACGTGGATTTTTCTGCTGGTCCACCGGTTATTCACTCCACATCTATAATAAACATGCTTTTGGACTATTTGGCTGCTTTAAAATGTCCACGTGATAAGCCACTTCGTTGAGCTATCATTTCTGACCAGGTCGCTTCTGCACAAGAGCTATACAGCTATTCAGCTTAGTGTGGTAAAATAATTAGTTTCTTTTAATCTTGATTTGAAGCTTTCGTGACTGCAGGAATCCATACTCTTTGGTTCTTTCGTCAAAGTCACGTAGGTAGAAAAATAAAATAAAACAAAAAATAATATATCACGACGTTTCGATCGCAACACAAGCGGTCGTCCTCAGGTGGAAAAGAAAAATCCAAGAAAAATTCCAGCAGTGGAACTTGCTGGATTTTTTTTCCCACCTGAGGACGACCGCTTGTGTTGCGATCGAAACGTGATATATTATTTTTTGTTTTATTTTTCTACCTACGTGACTTCACCTAAAGAACCAAAGAGTATAGTTTTAGTTTTAATTATTTTAATTTAGAACCCGAGTTCAGAGTGCAGTGCGCTTACAACTGCGCCACCGCTTCTCCTGACGAGTGTGTTGATTTTCTGCTTTAACCCTCATGGGACGTTTTACTTTGAGGTTGTGCTCTCCGATTGAGTCCTTACTTCCACCTCTTGTAATCGTGCGCTGTAATACGATAAAATCGTACACGCAACGAAATCAACGATCAGACATTTGACCATATATGGAAGAAAGTAGGCGTGGCATTGGCCGAATGGGGGCGTGTCTTTTCCCATATATGGTCATTGCGGATCGTGAATCCAGGCCAATTGTATCGATTCCGCTCAGTCAATCCGTCAGCCAGCTCAAAGTCGATCGGGCAGCAATCTTGAAAATGTCCGTTTTTGATCTTAAATAAAATTCTGCGGTTTACAGATCTTACAAAATAACGACATTGATGTGCGATTTTTACGTAATTCATTGAATAAAGTTTAGTGTAAAAACGGGCAGAAGCATATAATAAGGAAACAACAAAAATACCGAGTTAATCATTATTTGCGGGTTAATCTCTGTGTGGATTCATTGCCAGTTGCTATCCATCGAGTAATCATGTGACGTGCCCCACTTTTTTTAACTGGCTAACTAATATCTGCAAGATGAGTGATACCGTCACAGTCCGCTTCTATTGCACCACATCGCCACCCCGTCGGCAGCTATTCATGAGAGCGACGTTGGGGAACCTCTTACTGGGGGTCGAAGAAGTCTTTCAAAAAACATCTCGTGGGCGACCCAACACTCACGCTCACACAAGGCTCTGTCACTTCTGTCACTGCAAGAGTCTCTTGCAGTGACAGAACTGAGTGAGCGCGGGGCTTGCCTTAGATTCGCGGTTTTTGCCAGGCCAAACATATTCTCCTCCAGTATGTGATTAGTGCAGCTAGGATGCTTGCAGTGACGGGTAAATATCATTTTTCTGGCCGTTTCGAAGTGGTGGCTTTGCATTAGAGGGTGATGTTTCTGATCGATAATTGCTTTTTTTCCATTAGCGCGGTCTTTCCTCGTTAGTGGACTCTTTCCAACCGAGGTTGAAAGTGTTTATGCATTAGCTCTGTCCGTCCATCTGTCCACGACGGGGAGGCACTATAACTCATGTAAAGATGATCGAATCTCTGGTATAATGTGTTATTGCTGTTTGGCACTAACTGACCAGATTGATCAAAGGGTTTCCCGAAGCCTTGAGACACAATCCCGATAAAAAAATATCGTTTTGTAATTATCCAAAACCAATTTAGTCATGGTAGCTACCCATCAGCTTCCGTACTGCCAGTTAAAAACTTGTTATTAAAGTCAAGCTACAGTAGTGCGATTGTGGCCATGCAACCCAAACTATGGGTCATATAGTAAACCCATAGACATACATAGAGAGCTATAGAGATACATAGAGGTACATTAAGGACAAGCCACGGTAGTGCCCGACTCTGGCCGTACATCCCAAACTATGAACTACGTAGTAAGGAGGAAGAAAAAGAGCAAAACTCCACGAACGCTCTCCTAAAGCCCTCTCGTCGTGGCCATTAGACCTCAACATTGGCATCTAGCTCCTGACCATATATAATACTTTTGAAGTATTATGTATGTTTTACCTCCTATGTACGGAGCAAAAGAAGTCCAAAATACAGGTAGTCCCCGAGTTACGATGGTCCGACTTAACGATATTTCGATCTTACGATAGCGATATGACAAAATTGCCATCAACAACCTAACATCATTCAAGTATGCAGACGACGGACAGAATCTTGGTGAGTACAGTACAGTATGATACGTTTCGATACGTTCAATGCATGTATGATACGTAGCTTTAGCGATTTCATTTTAGTGTTACCACGACACGATACGTTCAATTGCAGTTCATATAGGTAGGCTAAGAATTTACCTTTTTTTACTTTGCATTTTACTATGCAATACAGTATTGTAATTAATAAATACATACAGTATCTAGTTTATACAGTACGGTACTGAAAATTGCTCTGTTTTGCTAAATTACCACCATTCTTTAAGACTCCTGGGTAGGCTCGGCCATCTTCGACTTACGATATTTTTGACTTATGATGGGGTCGTCGTAATGCATCTCCATCGTAAGTAGAGGACTACCTGTACGCCACATACAAACTCACAGAAACTGTCAACAGAAATCCAGCATCGTGCACGCACGCGGTTTTCCCCGTTCATCTTTTGCCCCGTTGGCTCTGCGCTTCCCCCCCCCGCGTGTCGGCGGTGGCATCGTCGTCGTGAAGAGAACAGCACGGCAAACGTGAGCTCGAGCGAGGCGGAGCGGAAGGCTCACCGCTACTACCAGTCCTGCATGAACGAGGCCCACATCGAGGAGCTGGGCGCCCAGCCCCTCGTCGACCTCATCGACAAGGTGACCTTTCTCTCTCTCCCCATTATAAAGATTCCCCCCCCCCACCCTGTGTAGCCTTAACAGACCTTTTGGGGGCAAGTGCTGTTAGCGAGCAGCGCCTGTGAAGGCCGACACGGCGCACCAAGGGGTTGGGTGGCCACCCACCATGGCCGGAGGCTTTTGTCTCCCCCGTAGCAATGTTCATAGCGCAGCTTGCTGACCGTCACACTACCGCTCCGTTACACACACACACACACAAATATCCAAAAACAGCTGTACAAAATACAAGGCTGATAATAATAATTCAATTTTTACAGCGCTTATCACCAAGGATCTCAAAGCGCCGTACAGGACAGAGCAGCAACAGACACTCAGCAGAAACACAATTATATTATAAATACATTTTAAGAATCCATTTACTGAGTGAACTAAAAGTTTAACAAGCAGAAGCGTATATAAATAGGTTTTAAGAACACATCTATTTCCAGTAACACGCATTTATAACTTAAAAGTCTGCAAAGCAGAGCGATCGGACAAGGATGGTGGGGTTTTGATCCCAGAGATTAGGTGTGGGGGTGGGGAGAGGAGAAAGCAGGAGCAGGGAGGCTCTTCTAGGATTACGATAATTTACGTCGCGGTGGCTTTAAACGTCAAGGTCGCGGGAGGCGACATTCAAATGATCCCGACTTCGACAAACCCCCCCCCCCCTCCGCGCCAGCCGAGGCCAGAATCCGCTCGCTCTTCGTCAGAAAAGAGCCTTTGGCGTCGGTTACCGGCGTTGCAAACGACCTCGGCCAATATTGCTCGGTTCTGCTTCCCAAGGAGACTCGGCCTGCGGCATTGACGATGGCCTGCCCGTCAGCACTAGGGCTGACGTGCATGCGTCCGTCCGTGTGTGCGTGCGTGCACGCGTCCGTGTGTGCGTGTGGTCTCGTCCGCGAGCAGGTTGGCGGCTGGAACGTGACCGGCGCTTGGGACAAGGATTCCTTCCAGGATGTGCTCCAGTTGGTGTCGGCGATGGTGCGCGCCACGCCCTTCTTCTCCGTCTACGTGGGGCCCGACTCCAAGAACTCCAACTCCAATGTCATCCAGGCACGTGCGCACGTCCTGGCTCACAGCTGGCTGCTGATGTGGTTTGGTCTGTGTGTGCACGTATGTGTGCGTGTGTGTGCGTGTGTCAGAGCACTGCGCTCCGAACATGGCGACCGAGTTCCATTCCCGCTCAACGGCCAACATTAGTGAAGATAATCTGAATCGGTCCTGGGCCTCCCCTAGGTCGACTCGGCCTAAAATGAGTACCCGATAAACATCGCCACTGGGGAGACAAAGGCAGCCGGGCGTGGTGGTGGCCACCCACCCCCTCGTGTGCTGTGCCGGCCTTCATAGGTGCTTGCTAACAACACTTGCTCCAACAGTCTTTTAAAGCTATACTGGGGGGGGGGGGGGCAGGCAATCTTTGTATCTGTGTATGCTTATGAGCGATGCCACCTGATCTTAGCATGCACCTAGCCTGGCATACTCACTGTGGTGACGTCATTTATTGGCGAGTGTTTTGTGTGCATTTTTGCATGCTTTTTGTTTGTGTGTGTGTGTGTAAGTTTGCGCGCACTCGTACGTGTGGTTAATGCAGGTGGACCAACCAAACCTTGGCTTGCCGTCTCGTGATTACTACCTCAACAAGACGGCCAACGAGAAGGTGTGCTGCTCCCCTTGGCTCGCGATGAACCTTTGACACGCGCCCCTTGACCTGAGCTGCGTGTGGTGGGTGCGTGGTAGCGCAGGTTTGACCGTAGTTTGCCGGTCCTGTGCGCGTTGTGTGTGTGTGGTGTGTGTGTACCTGTGTGTGTATCTGTGTGTGGTGTGTGTACCTGTGTGTGTGTCTGTGTGTGGTGTGTGTGTACCTGTGTGTGTGTGTATCTGTGTGTGTGTATCTCTGTGTGTGGTGTGTATCTGTGTGTGTGTGTGTATCTGTGTGTGTGTGTGTATCTGTGTGTGTGTGTATCTGTGTGTGTGTATCTGTGTGTGTGTGTATCTGTGTGTGTGGTGTGTGTGTATCTGTGTGTGTGTCTGGTGTATCTGTGTGTGTGTGTGGTGTGTGTGGTGTATCTGTGTGTGTGTGTGTGTGGTGTGTGTGTACCTGTGTGTGTGTGTTGTGTGTATCTGTGTGTGTGTATCTGTGTGTGTGGTGTGTGTGTCTATGTGTGTGTACCTGTGTGTGTGTGGTGTGTGTGTACCTGTGTGTGTATCTGTGTGTGTGTGTGGTGTGTATCTGTGTGTGTGTGTGGTGTGTACCTGTGTGTGTGTGTGGTGTGTACCTGTGTGTGTGTGGTGTGTGTGTACCTATGTGTGTATATGTGTGTGTGTGTATCTGTGTGTGTTTGTATCTGTGTGTGTGTGGTGTGTATCGCGGTAGTGTAGCGGTTAGCGCGCTGCCTTACGAACCCGGTCACACGAGTTCGATTCCTGCTCACGGCCAACACCAGTGGCGATTATCCGAACCGTACCTGGTGCGATGTGTAAATATCACCACGAGGAAGACAAAGACGGCCGGCGTGTTGCTGGCCACCAACCCCCTCGTGTGCCGTGTCAGCCTTGAAAAGTGCTCGCTAACAGCACTTTCCCCAACAGTCTCTTACAGGCTATACGGAGGGCCTATGTCTTTGTGCATCGCTCACGACCAACACCAGTGCCGATTATTTTAATCGCTCCTGGGCCTGCCTGACCCAGGTTCAAATGAATACCTGGTACGGTGTGTAAACATCATCACTGGCGAGACAAAGGTGGTCGGGTGTGGTGGCGGTGTCCACCCATCCTCCTCGTGTGCCGTGCCGGCAGCTTTCATGGGTGTTCGCTAACAGCACTTGCCCCAGCAGTCTGATAATGCCCTGTGTGTGTGTGTGTGTATCACAGGTGCTGACGGCGTACCTGGGCTACATGGTGGAGGTGTGCGTGCTGCTGGGCGGGGAGCCCAACGCGACGCGGGCGCTCCTGGAGCGCGTGCTCCACCTGGAGACGGAGATCGCGAACCTGACGACGCCGCAGGAGGAGCGGCGCGACGAGGAGGACATCTACCACAAGATGAGCATCGCGCAGCTGCAGGTGCCGCTGCCGCGTCGCCGGAGGAGCAGGGGGCGGGGTGGGGGGGGGGGTCTCCCAACTCTGTTCTTCCTCTCATTCCGAATCAAAACGGCTACATGCGGACGGAGCGGCGGAGAGATTTGGTTTTTTGAGATGGGACCCAAAAGCAAAACAATTACGGAGGCCCGGGGTGAAGGGATGGACTCTGGACACGAGAGCACCTCTGTTAACACACGGTAGTTTGTCACCGCTCTCGGAGCAAACAAGAATGCCTAACTTGGGCATCGTGTTGATGTTATTGTATTTCCGGTTCTGTTTGGTTACATTATTACTCCCCCCTACCCCTCCACCTTCTTCCATCTTTATCCCCGCCCCATGAATGCCCTTGCTCCCGATCGTTACCCCTTCCGCGGTTGGGCAGTGAGCCCAGTCGCCCACTGGTCGGTCCCCAACTTTTGAGGGTGTACCGCTCGGGGGTTTGGTTCACATCATTCTCTGTTTCCTCCCCCCCCCCCCCTCGCCTCTTTGGTATCTACTTTGTATTCTGGGTTTCTTGAATAACAATTTAAAAAAAAAGGTACAAATTGACATCTGGCCATTCACCGACGCTGGCCGCTCTGGCGCCGCCGTTCAGCCTTGTTGATGGGTGGGGCGGTAGCAGCAGCAGCAGGTGACCATACAGACCACCAACCCGAACTCTCCAGTGTTGCCGCTTGTTCGAAGTGGAGAGACCAAGTACTACGAAAGCACTTTGCAAATGGCAACATCACCCCTCGCACTTTCCTGTTTTTTCGCCAGCCAGCCCAGGCCCTCCCAGCATACTGTGGCTGGCTTCTCATTATTGCTGGGGACGTCGAATTGAATCCAGGCCCGTTTTTGCCTTGTGGCGGCTGCGCCAAGAACGTCAATGCAAATTCTATCCAATGCAACGGTTGTAAAGCTTGGTAACCACAAACGCTGTGCTACTTTAGCTCGCATCCCCAGTTCAAATTCCGGCCCGTTCTGCAAATATTGTACATCGTCTACTCCAACAATTCCACCTTGCACAACCACACTAGCACCACCACCTTATCCATCGCAACCACCGTTTCAACCACAACAAAACGTCCACAACAAAAACGACCTAAAAATCCTTCAACTTAACATCAACGGCATCAACAACAAATCTCTTGAACTCAGCACCTTCCTACAACAAAACTCCATTAATATAGCCGCCATCCAAGAAACAAAATAAAAATCCACTTCTCGCCCGCCCAACTTTCAAAATTTCACTTTCCTCTGTCGAGACCGACCAACAGCTGGTGGCGGTCTAGCTTTCCTCATCAGTTTGAAGAAATTAAAATCCCAATGCCTCCTTCTGATATCACCACAGAAGTCTTAAGTGTCCGTATCAAATCCCATCTAGGCCTACTCACTGTAATCAACGCCTACATCCCACCGACCAGCTCTTGCCCTCGCAACTATCAGTTCAATATAAATCGACTTTTACCAAACAACAACTCAATCGTTATTGGAGATTTCAACGCCCACAACAAACTTTGGCACTCTTCCCTTGCAGATGCACGTGGCGACCTCATTGCCGACATCTTGAACGGCTCCCCCTGTGGGGTACTCAATGAAAAGAATAAAACCAGAGTTCCGTCATCTGGCCCTTCATCCTCACCAGATATCTAAATAGCGTCAGGAAACCTCCTTTCAAGTCTTTACAGCACTTGGATCCGACCCTTAATGCCGCCAAGCCTTCACAAGCTCCTAAAAACCGCTTGTATTACAACTTTTAAAAAGCCAACTGGCCACTTTTTACTTCAGTATCGGAATCATTATTTGCCGACAACATCAACCATATCCACACATAACTCTGAAAAGATTTTTAGAACATCGCAACTACCACCAAACACACCATCCCGGCGGGTTGCTACAAGCAACAACTTCCCTGCCTCGCTAAAGAAGCCTCAACGCTAATAAACCAATGAAACACTATTAGAACTAAAAAGCCTACATCACAAATCCCAGCCTTCAATATTGAAATCACAAAGCTAATCAATCAAGCCAAAACAGAACGCTGGCATGAGTTTGTTGAATCTTTTGACCACCACCAAAACTCATCAAAACTTTGGAAGACCATCAAAGCCTTACTTAGACAAACACTCCAAACCGCCACCAAATTGTGCAATCACTTTCAACAACAAATCCGTCAAAAACAACAATAACATCGCCAAACACTTCAACAAACTTTTCTCATCAGTCGTCCCACACTCTTCCAATAAATCCACCCATCAAAAAATCCGTCAAATCAAGGAACTACCCCTAAACGACGCCCCCCAATGTATCCTTGAAGAGGTGAAACTAGCTGTTAAAAAAGCCAAAAATTATTCCGCAGTTGGCCCTGATGGCATAGGTATGCCCCACCTCAAACACCTTGGCCCCCCTTGGCATAAAGTTTCTCGCCTCCACCATTAATGCCTCACTCCAGTGCAACCTCATTCCGGCCATTTGAAAATCATCGACAATCATCCCACTTCCAAAACCCGGCGAAGGCCTAAATCAGGCAACGTCCTACAGGCCGATTTCCCTACTTTGCCCATCAATCAAGATTTTAGAGGCCCTCATCCTTCCAGTCATCACCACCAACTTACCTCCATCATCTCACCAACATGGCTTTCGCCCTGCACACTCAACAACAACAGCTCTTCTCAACCTAACCACCCCAATTGCAAACAGTTTCGATGAGAAAAAGCCCCCATCCTGTACTATCGTCGCTTCCCTTGACCTTACAAAGGCTTTCGACACTGTTAACCACCTCACGCTCATCAACATCATCCAGGGTTCTACGCTACCATCAGGCCTTGTTTGCTGGCTTACAAATTTACCTGAGGGGCCGCCAATGACGCACTCTCTTTCGTGATATTCAATCCTCCTCACGAAACATTCATGCAGGAGTACCACAAGGTTCCATAATATCCCCAGCGCTGTTGAACGCCTACCTCCATGATCTACCAACTCCTCCAAAAGGAGTACAAGTAGTCAGCTATGCCAACGACATCACAGTTTATACTTCTAATTAAAATATACCCAAAATGGAAAACGCCATCAACTCCTATCTTAAACGGCTCAGCACTTTCCGAGGCAATAGATCGCTTCAACTCTCAACATCCAAATCAACAGTCACCCTTTTCACACCTGATCCTCATCATGCCAACTTACATCCCAACGTCATCATAAACAACCAACGCCTCCCACAAGCAAAAACCCCAAAAATTCTAGTTGTGTAACCTTTGACACCATGTTCAGCTTTGTTCAACGCGGCAGAAACGTCCATGCAAAAGTTAACAAACGAAATACAATCTTACGAGCTTTAGCCGGCACATCTTGGGGTCAACAAAATTAAATTATGCCAGTCCCATTTGGTGCCCAAACCTCTCCTCTACAGGTTACCAAAAGCTCCAAACCGCCCAAAACCAAGCACTCCGCCTCGCCACAGAATGCCACCTCATGGCGCCCATTGACCATCTCCACCAAGAAACCAAAGTTCTTCCGATTCAAGAACACCGAAAGCTTCTCACCGATCAATATCTGGCTTCATGCCACTTGACAACGCATCCTCGCACAAAGATAATTAAAGCCCCTGCACCTGCTAGGAAAATGAAATCCACCTTGCTTTCCTTCAGCTCTGCTAACGTGCAATCTACTTTAAATGCTCTTCCACAAAATAGCACCACCAAATCAATTTTGAACCACTTGTACACCGCTGCCACCATGCACTGCCTGAACGACAAAAAATCCCTGACCCGGGCAACTCACACAAAACTGGCTCAACTCCGTTCAGGTTACTGCTCCATGCTAGCCGATTACCAAAATCGAATCGACCCAAACTGCTGCCCTTTGTGCCAAGCAACGCAAGAAGATGTCTCCCATTTTCTCAGTTGCCCAAAACGCAGACCAAAAATTTAATCGATTGATCTCTGACTAAACCCTTCCAAGGTGGTGACACAACGCCACCTATCAACAGAAAGTGCGAGGAAAACAACAACTAACCCGTGCCGTTCCACAGTTGCAGCTGGAACTAGTTCTGTTCAATTGAAACGAGGATTTCTTCCATGCCCGTTACGTCGTGCTGCGCCACCGTCCCATATCCCGTTTTGCCTTCGCGATCATTTCCCCCCCGTGCACGACCATGGTGGCGGTGTAACGTGGCCGGCACATCTTCATAGAGGAGTAGGTGGGGATGCGGGGGTTGGAAGGGGAGTTGCCAGGGCCCAATATATAACGCTCGTAACGACGATCCGATACGCACGCTTGCGAGGTGTGACGCTGCCGTCTCTACGCCCCTGCTGCGTTGTTTATCGCAGGAGCTGGCACCCGCTGTGGAGTGGCTGCCGTTCCTGAACGCCGTGTTCCACCCGCTGGTGCTCAACGGCACGGAGCCCGTGGTGGTGTACGCCACCGACTACTTGCGCAAGGTTTCCCAGCTCCTCAGCGGCGCCGACAAAACGTAGCGCACGCCGTCCACCGCACTGCGTCGCTCGGTTGTTGAACACTGACACACGCACGCGTACACACACACAACAATAAACTACCGCTGTTCAACACTGAGTGGCGGTGATGTCACCATGGCGCTTGTTCCAGGCTAGATGTACCTCGAGGTTGTCATGTGAAGTGTCGCAGGCTCGCTGATAGGAGCTCACCGGACAGACCCAGGTGCTTATGGATTCATTGACTGAGACGACTGGCAGATGCACACAAAGACTAAGATCCTCTGTATAGCCTGCAGAGGCTGCTGGGGCAAGTAGTGTTTGCGAGTAGCACCTATGAAGGCCGGCACGACACACGAGGGGATGGGTGGCCAGCACCACGCCGGTCACCTTTGTCTCCCCAGTGGCGATGTTTACACATTGCACCCGGGTGCTCATTTGAGGCTGAGTCGACTTAGTAGGAAGGCCCAGCACCAGTTGACATCATCGTCACTGGTGTTGGCCATGAGCGGGAATTGAACTCGGGTCGCTGGGTGTGTAGCACAATGCACTAACCGCTCGCTACACCACTGCTCCCCACACACCTCCGGACTAAGATAGAGATCCCCCTTTTAGAATCTTAACATACTTTTAGGCCAATTTCTGTTAGCGAGTAGCGCCTATGAAGGCCAATACGGTACACGAAGTGTTGGGTGGCCAGCACCACGCCCGGCCGCCTTCATCTCGCCAGTGGCGGTGTTTACACAGTGTCCCAGGCATTCATTTGAGGCTGAGTTGACCCAAGCAAGGCCCAGGACCGGTTCAGATGATCGTCACTGGTGTTGGCTGTGAGCGAGAATGAAACTCGGGTCACCGGGTTCGTAGCGCAGCGCGATAACTGCTACACTACCACTCCCTATTAGGACTATTTTGACTTTATCAGGTGAGCGATATAGCTCTTATTCAGAAGTGACCTGGCCACAAATGATAGCCCAATGAATTGGCTTATCGTGTGGAAATGTATGGTCGCTAAATCATTGAAATGCATGTTGATTCTAAGTCTAGAGATAAAAATTGGAGGACCCGGAGAAAAATCCACGGGGAGATCATGCAAACTTCAAATATACAGGCGTAAGGGTCAGGTTCGAACCCCTCGATCTCCTGCCTACTTGGCAAGGGAGATAACATCTCGCCACCGCGGCACGTACAAAGTTTCCCCGTATAGCCTCAACAGACTGTTGGGGCAAGTGCTGTTAGTGAGCACCGATGAAGGCCGGCAGGGCACACGAGGGGGTGGATGGTCAGAACTATGCCCTATAAGGTCCATTTATATTATATATGATATCATATATGGACCATATAGTAGAGCACCATAGTCCGCGCTGCTTCAACGGTGGATGAGGAACAACAAAACGACACGAACTCCCACTCCTGAAGGCCAGCAGCAGAACTCCACATTGGCGTCTCGCTTTTGAACACATCGCACATCGCCACGCGCAATAACAGAGTCCTCTGTTGGGGAATACCAGGCGAGGGAGTTTGCAGCTTGCCACCGTGGCGCCCCCAAACATTTCACCTGGAGTACTCCGGGCGCTCCAATTCTCTTCTCGCATTCATTCATGGAGTTGGCCAAAAAATTCAATACGAGACCGCAGAGCTTGGGTTAATATTGGCACCAGTGTTTTTGTGTCTGTTGCGGTTGCACCCGATTCAAGAGCCGAATGGCTCACAGGGCTATACCAAATAAATGGAACCATGGAACTATGCAAACCGATAATTGATGTGCTTTGTTGAGAAGGACCCTTGCCTGAAATGTTGCTGATTATTTTTTTCTTCCTTCATATTGTTCTCATTTAATAAGGCAGTGTTGTTGACAGGTGTGTTTTAATTTTTGTTTTTAACAATCGGTTAAGTAACCGATTTCTTTAATAACGAGCACTGCTTTAAGCATTTGCAAAGCACCCACGGCCCGGGTGTATCTGTACGTATGTATGTATGTACGTCAGTGTGTTGAACTTCTTTCACACCGTACGTAGTCAACCGAGCTCATCGGAGGTGCGGGGGAAGGACAACAAACTACTAAACACAAAAAGTTGTTCTTAAAGAAATTCGTTTTCAATCGAGGGTGGAAGGTGGGTGGGTGGGTGGGTTGGCGGTGTTCTGTCATCAGCGCGACAGAAGAGCCAGCCAGTAAAACTAGTGTTTCTTCTCAATGATACCGTAGTATGATGTTATAGCCCAGCCCTTGGTTCCGCGGGGCAGAGCCCAGCTTGACGCGAGCGGCGGGTGACACGATGCTGGTGTTCCCCCCCCCCCCCCCGTGCGTCGGCGCGCAGGCTGCTCAACACCTACATGGTGTGGAGCCTCGCCAAGAGGATGGCCTCCAACCTCGACCAGCGCTTTGAGGACGCCGAGCAGAAGTACCTGGAGGTCATCTACGGTACCAAGAAGGTGCGCAGGAGCGGCACGGGGCCGGGGGGGGGGGTTGAGTGGAGGTGTCCCTCTTGGCAGGGACCCCCCCCCCACCCATGTCAGCTCAAATTGAGATTTTTATAACTGTTTTATGAGGACCGGTGTGTTATGCTGTACCGGTGTATATACTGTACACTGTATATACTATATACCGTGTATATGCTGTATACTGTGTATATGCTGTATACTGTGTATATACTGTATACTGGGTGTGTATATACTGTATACTGTATATACTGTATACTGGGTGTGTATTTACTGTATTCTGTGTATATACTGTATACTGAGTGTGTATACTGAGTGTATATACTGTATACTGAGTGTGTTTACTGAGTGTGTATATACTGTATACTGGGTGTGTATACTGGGTATATACTGTGTATATACTGTGTACTGTGTGTGTATATACTGGATGCTGTATATACTGTATACTGCATATACTGTAAACGGTGTATATACTGTATACGGTATATATACTGTATAAACTGTGTATACTGTACACTGTATATACTGTGTGTATATACTGTATACTGTGTTCATACTGTATACTGTGTTTTTATACTGTATATACTGTATACTGTGGAAATATTGTATACTGTGTGTTATACTGTATACTATGTATATACTGTATACTGGATGTATATACTGCATGCTGTGTATATACTGTATACTGTGAATACACAGACCACACTGTATATACTGTACACCGTATTCACGGTATACTGTATATACACTGCACCGTATATACTGTATACTGTATATACTGCGTACTGTATACACACTGCATACTGCATAAACTGTATACTGTACAAATTGTGAACTGTATATACTGTATACACAGTGCACAGTATGTAGATGCCCAGTATACAGTATATGTGTATACTGTATACGGTACGTACACTGTGTATACTGTATACGCCACATGCTGTATACTCCGTGTATATACTGTATACGGGGGGGTGTCTGTATACTGTACACTGTGTATACTGTACACCGTGTGTACACTGTGTATTGTGTATACACTGTATACTGTACATACGGTGCAAATACTGTGCATATACTGTATATATGCTGTATACCGCACATATACTATATAAGGTTTATATACTGCATACTGTATATATGCTGTATACTGTATATATGGTGTATAATGTATATACTGTATACCGTGTATATACTGTATACCGTGTATATACTGTATACCGTGTATATACTGTATACCGTGTATATACTGTATACTGTGTGTATACTGTATACTGTGTATATACTGTATACTGTGTGTATACTGTATGTATGTATATACTGTATACTGGATTCATACTCTTTGGTTTTTTCGGTAAAGTCACGTAGGTAAAATAAAATAAAAGAAAACAACTCAATTAAATCACGACGTTTTAATTCAGGTGAATTAAAACATGTAAATCTGGCCCTCAAGATGAACGGATACTCTGACCGTACTATCCGCCAAGCTGTTTCTCCCACCATACAGAAACAACCACCTGATACTCCGATCAAAATCATCACGTTACCATACATAGCAGACGTTACCAAAAAGATTTCCAACATTCTAAACAAACACAAGATCCAGGTCCGGTTCAATACAGTACACAAAATCCGTGATCTGATCCCATCCGTAAAGGATGTAATTCCTGACTTACAGTACCCCGGTGTTTACAAATTGAGTTGTACCTGTGGTGACTGCTATATCAGGGAGATGAAACGACATATTTCTGACCGAATCCGCGAGCACAAATCAGATTTGAAACACGGCAGAACGAATTCTTCGGCCGTGGCCGATCATTGTTTCAACACAGCGGGTTCTCATGACATTGTTTTCTCTGATACCAAAGTTCTCTGCAAACCTCCCGGTTATTACCAAAGATTTGTCCATGAAGCCACCCAGATATACAAACATAGACACAACTTCAACCGAGAAGATGGTTTCAAATTGAGCAACCATTGGAAAGATGTTATAAACCAAGTCAAACGTTAGCTGCCTTATAATTGTACAGCCATTTCCATTGCTTTCTAACAAAAATGGGGTTGTACTCGCCCCCGTGTAGCACGTCATCGCTCCCCCCGAACCCCCTGCAGCATAACAAAAGGCGGCTTAACTTAGCCCTCCCCCCCACCCATGTCCCTTTCTGGCTCCTCCCCCCCTCTTAACGTGTATATAATCCCGGTCGTCTCAAGAGCTCCCCACTTGGCACAGCTATTCTGCTGTGACTGTTCCACCTGAAGACGGAAGCTTGTTGCCTCCGAAACATCGTGATTTAATTTAGTTTTATTTTATTTTATTTCACCTATGTGACTTTACCGAAAAAAACAAAGAGTATGAATCCTTGCAGTCACGAAAGCTTCAAATCTAGAACATATACTGGATGTGTATATACTGTATACTGGGTGTGTATATACTGTATACGGTGTATATACTGTATACTGGGTGTGTATATACTGTATACTGGGTGTGTATACACTGTATACTGGGTGTGTATATACTGTATACTGGGTGTGTATACTATGTGTGCATACTGTATATACTGTATATGGTGTATATACTGTATACTGTATATACTGCATACCGTGTGTATATACTGTATACTGTGTATATACTGTATACGGTGTGCATGTAGACTGTATACTGTGTGCATGTAGACTGTATACTGTGTGCATGTATACTGTATACTGTGTGCATATATACTGTATACTGTGCGCATGTATACTGTGCGCGTATATACTGTATACTGTGTGCGTATTATTCTGTATACTGGGTGTGTATACACTGTATACTGGGTGTGTTTATACTGTATACTGTGTATATACTGTATAGTGTGTGCGTATATACTTTATACTGTGTGCGTATATACTGTATACCGTGTATATACTCTGTATATACTGTATACTGTGTGCATATTTTGTATACTGTATATATACTGTATACTGTGTATATACTGTATACTGTGTGCGTATATACTGTATACTGTGTATATACTGTATACTGTATATATACTGTATACTGTGCGCATGTATACTGTGCGCGTATATATTGTATACTGTGTGCGTATTCTGTATACTGGGTGTGTATACACTGTATACTGGGTGTGTATACACTGTATGCTTGGTGTGTATACACTGTATACTGGGTGTGTATACACTGTATACTGTGTATATACTGTATACTGTGTATATATACTGTATACTGTGTGTATACACTGTATACTGTGTGCATATATACTGTACTTGGTGCGTATATACTGTATACTGGGTGTATATACTGTACACTGGATGTGTGTGTACTGTGCATTATAATTACGCTGTATGTACTGTGTGTGTGGGTATACACTGTGTGTGCCCTATGTATGTGTCCACTGTTAAATCATTGTGTGCATTTCCTGCCACTCTGTGTGCTCACGGTGTGCCGCGTGCCTGTGTGTGCGTACTCTGTGTGTTGTACATGATCTTGTGTGTGTGCGCGTGTGCGCGCGTGTTCCCTGCCACGCGTGCGTGTTGTGTTCCCTGCCACGCGTGCGTGTTGATCGCGAGCAGTCGTGCACGCCACGCTGGCAGGACTGCATGGAGGACACGGACAACACGCTGGGGTTTGCGCTCGGTGCCATGTTCGTGCGCGCCACCTTCGACCAGAGCAGCAAATCCGTGGTGAGTGCGACGGCCGGTCTCGGGCGCCCCCGCAACCCGACCCTCGGCGACCGGGTCGCTCGGCACGGCACGAGCTCCGGCACCCGCTTGTGCACCTGCGGCACGGTTGTGGCAGCGCGGCGGTGACATTTGTACCTCGCGCCAAGAAGGGCCCGGGTTCGATTCCCGACTCGGGTCGCCCCGAGTCGGGAATCGAATCCGTGTGCGAGTCCCGTGTGTTGTTGCCGCTTCTCGCTGTGCAGGCCGAGGGCACGGTCGCGAAGATCCATGTGTTAATCCACGTGTTATTTTGTGCGTTATTCCGTGTGTTATTCCGTGTGGTATTCCTCGTGTTATTACGTGTATAAATCCGTGTGGTATTCCGCCTACTGTCCCGTGCATTATCCCGCGCGTTATTCAGCCCGTTATCCCGCGCGGCATTCCGTGTGTCAACCGGCGCGCTGGTGCCGCGTCTCGCTGCGCAGGCCGAGGGCATGATCACGGAGATCCGCTCGGCGTTCGAGGCCGGGCTCGGCAAGCTCACGTGGATGGACCCCGAAACGATCGAGGCGGCCAAAGAGAAGGTGCCCACTGGGCCGCGGCACCGCCAGCGACCGAGATTCGGCAACACTGCTAACGGCCGCTTTCGCCCGCACAAGCCTCGCCGAGTCTCACGACTCTTTATCGGGAGGGTCCTGCTACGTTTTAGCAGTAAGGGGAGGTGGGGGGGGCAGGCGATGATTTGCTACGTATATATTTTCTAATGGAGCAATTTACGGATACGTTTCTTTCAGTTTGACAAATTTGCGTCTCGTGCATATCGGGGGGGGCCGTGGAGAGGGGGTGGCCGTGGCTTGACATGGACTTCACATGTCCCCCCAACGTCTCCCACTTAGCCCCATCGCTCCAGCTGATGGGGTTTCCACCCCTATCTGATGTAGACCCCCACAGCCTCTCCCACCTGGTCCCCACAGGCCCCTTCCCCTGGTCCACACACTTGGATACTGGTCACACTATAACACCTGTACCTGACACACTGGTCACACTCAGACACTGCTCACACTCGGACACTGGTCAGTCACACTGCTCACACCCGCCACTGTGCTGCCGTGTGGGCTAGGCGGATGCCATATACGACATGATCGGCTTCCCGGATTTCATCCTGAAGCCAGAGGAGCTGGACAAGGTGTTCACGCAGGTAGGGAGGGAGCTGGGCGCCGGCTGAGCTGCCGGCCGGCGGCCTTCACCACGCACCAAGGGAACGGCTACGCCGCGTGTCCTCGCCACTTCGGTGCGCCCGCTCGCGTTCATTGGAAGGGCGTCATCGTGAACTGTGCGCGAGCAGGGGTGGCTTGCAACAACGTTGGGGCCAGTGTCCCCCCACCCCCCTCTGTATTTGTGAGGTGGTCGACCTTGTGGATTTACCGAGTTCTGGGCACATGGTCAGCTGTGTGCTTCGTGTGTCTCTGCGTGTCGCGGTTATCGCGCTGTGCTACGAATCTGACGACCCGGGTTCGATTCCCACTCACGGTCGACACCAGTAAAGATTATTCTGCACCGGTGTTGGTCCTCCCCTAGGTCGACCCAGCCTCTAATGAGAACCTGGTACAGTGTGTAAACATCCCCGCTAGGGAGACAAAGGCGGCCGGGTGTGGTGTTGGCCACCCACTCCCTCGTGTACCATGCTGGCCTTCATAGGTGCTCGCTAACAGCACTTGCCCCAATCGTCTGTTGAAGATTATACGTGAGATCTTGGTCAAAGTGTGTGTCCGTGGGGAGTGGTAGTGTGGTGGTTGGCGCTCTGTGCTACGAACCCCGGAGACAAGAGTTCGATTCCCACTCGTGGCCAACACCAGTGACGATTATCTGAACTGGTCTTGGGCCTCGCGTAGGTCAACCCAGCCTCAAATGAGTACCTGGTACAGTGTGTAAACATCGCCGTTCGGGAGACAAATGCGGCCGGGCGGCCTTCATAGGTGATCGCTAACAGCTCTTGCCCTAGTAGTATGTTGAAGGCTATACGGGAGATCTTTGTCTTTGTGTGTGTGTCCCAGTATGAGGTTGTAGAGGAAGATTACTTCCAAAACGTTCTCAACTACTACAACTTCTCTTCGCGCATGTCATCAGAGCAGCTCCGCAAGCCGCCCAGCCGTGACCAGTGACTACCGCTCGCCACTCGCTCGCCACTCGCTCACCACTCCGTCGCCACACGCTCCCCACTCGCTCCTCACTCGCTCGCCACTCGCTCGCCACCCGCTCACCACTCGCTCCCCACTCACTCCCCACTCGCTCACCACTCCGTCACCACACGCTCCCCACTCGCTTGGCACTCGCTCGCCACACGCTCCCCACTCGCTTGGCACTCGCTCGCCACACGCTCGCCACTCGCTCGCCACTCGCCCCCACATGCTGCTCGCCACACGCTTGGCACTCGCTCACCACACGCTCGCCAATCGCTCCCAACTCGCTCGCCACACGCTCGCCACTCGCTCCCCACTCGCTCACCACTCGCTCGCCACTCGCTCGCCACACGCTCGCCACTCGCTCGCCACTCGCTCGCCACCCGCTCACCACTCGCTCCCCACTCACTCCCCACTCGCTCACCACTCGCTCGCCACTCGCTCCCCACTCGCTCCCCACTCACTCCCCACTCGCTCGCCACTCGCTCGCCACTCGCTCCCCACTCGCTCGCCACACGCTCGCCACACGCTCCCCACTCGCTCACCACTCGCTCGCCACTCGCTCGCCACTCGCTCCCCACTCGCTCCCCACTCGCTCGCCACTCGCTCCCCACTCGCTCGCCACACGCTCGCCACACGCTCGCCACTCGCTCGGCACTCGCTCCCCACTCGCTCGGCACTCGCTCACCACACGCTCGCCACTCGCTCCCCACTCTCTCGTCACTCGCTCCCCACTCGCTCGCCACTCGCTCCCCACTCGCTCCCCACTCGCTCGCCACTCGCTCCCCACTCGCTCGCCACACGCTCCCCACTCGCTCGCCACTCGCTCCCCACTCGCTCCCCACTCGCTCGCCACTCGCTTCCCACTCTCTCGCCACTCGCTCGCCACTCGCTCGCCACTCGCTTTCCACTCGCTCCCCACTCGCTCGCCACACGCTCCCCACTCGCTCACCACTCGCTCCCCACTCGCTCGCCACTCGCTCCCCACTCGCTCCCCACTCGCTCGCCACTCGCTCCCCACTCTCTCGCCACACGCTCCCCACTCGCTCGGCACTCGCTCGGCACACGCTCGCCACACGCTCGGCACTCACCAATCACAAACCAATCGCATAAACCAATCACTCGCCACTCGCGTAACCAGACACATAACTCGCGTGGACCTATAGCAAGACGCGAGCATGCTACTCACCACTCACGCAAACACTCGTATTGCAATCAACCACCACTCACACCGAGGCTATAACCACCACTCACACCGCCCGCATCACTCGCATCGCTCATCACTCACACCCTCCAAAACCTCCCACCACACGCACCACTCGCACCACCGCTCATCAGCCCGCTCACATCACGCAAGCATTCGCATCTCTCGCCAACGAGACAATTTAGCTGCGTTGTTTTGCCTCTGTGGGCCGTGTAACTCTTAGCCAGCGTCTTCTGCTGCTGGTGTAGCACTGACCTTAGCTGCCGTGTGTACACACACACGCGCGGGTGCATGGTGGGGTTCGGTGGCACAGTGGTTAGCGCAGTGTGCTCAGAACCGGGCACACCCGAGTTCCATTTTCCGCTCAAGGCCAGCATCGGTGACGAATGCATGAACCGGTGCTGGGCCTCCTCTAGATCGACTCGGCTTTAAATGAGCGCACGCATAGTGCAGCGCGTGCTATCGTCGGCACTCGGGAGACCAAGGCGGCCTCGCGAGGAGTTGGCCAGCCGCCCCGTCGTGTGCCGTGCCTGCCTTAATAGGCGCTGGCGAACAGCACTTGCCGCACCGGACTGTTAATAGGCTACCCGGATGGGTGAATCTCTGTCTTTGTGAACAGGTGGAGCATGACGCCGCCCACCGTTAACGCCTACTACTCCCCCTCCAAGAACGAGATTGTCTTCCCCGCGGGGATTCTGCAAGCGCCGTTCTACGCCCGCAACTACCCCAAGTAACGCCGCGCAATTCGCGTGCGCCCTCGCACCCTCGCGCGTTCACCCGGAGAGTACAAGCCGCGCCGCTGTCGGGTACTCGCTGCGTTGAATGTCGGCGTGCGGTGGAGAACAATGGCTGCGCCTCGCCCGCGATCGAAGTGTGTGCCGCTGCTGCTGCTGCTGCCACGTGTGCCGCTGCTGCTGCTGCTGCCACGTGTGCCGCTGCTGCTGCTGCTGCTGCTGCTGCCACGTGTGCCGCTGCTGCTGCTGCTGCCACGTGTGCCGCTGCTGCTGCTGCTGCTGCTGCTGCCACGTGTGCCGCTGCTGCTGCTGCTGCCACGTGTGCCGCTGCTGCCGCTGTGAAGCTGTGAAGCCAACGACCCGAGTTTGGTTCCCGCTTGCGGCCAACACCGGTGACGATTGTCTGAACCGGTCATGGACCTCCCCTAGGTCCGCCCAGCCTCAAATGAGCACCTGCTGCGGCGTGTAAACATCGCCGCTGGGGAGACACAAAGCGGCCCGGGTGTGGTGCTGGCCCCACCCCTACCCGCTCGTGCGCCGTGTCGGCCTTTAGGTGCTACTCGCTCACGGCACTTTGCCCCAACAGTATGTTGAAGCTGTACGGGAGATCTTTGTCTTTGCTGCTGCTGCTGCTGTGCGTAGGTCACTGAACTTTGGTGGGATCGGCGTGGTGATGGGGCACGAGCTGACGCACGCGTTCGATGACCAAGGTACGCCCCCCCCCCCACCCCCCCGTGAGTCCGCACCCCGTGTATTGCTGGGCGTTTGCAACGCCCATGCACTTCGCTGTCAGGGGGGTCTCTCCAGTTGGTTTGTTGTCGCCCCTTGGGCAGGGCCAAACTGACCCCAACAGCGACCAGGAACGGCTTGTCCACACGCAGCCCCTGAGGCCCAGGGCGGCAGTACGCAAAGATGGCGTTGCACTGCACTGCTGATTCCTAGCAATGACGAAACCGGTGTAAATTTGCCTCATCATCATTTTGCTGCTGTTGAAAACAAAATGGCCACAATTTGGGCTCTTGGTTTTGCTCGGTGACGCCATCGGCATCATCGGCATCGGTGGTGGTTGAGTGAGCGAGTGTGCGAGTGGGCGAGTGGATGGGTGAGTGGGCGAGTGGGTGGGTGAGTGAGTGCGTTGTATTGTTAGCTGCATTACGGTGGTGGTGGTGGAACACCGTCCAGGCGAGACGAAACGCTCGTGCGAAAACGCCGCTCCGCCCTCCCCCTCCTCTCCCCGCTCCACGCCGCGCCCCTCGCCAGGCCGTGAGTACGACAAGGACGGGAACCTGCGGCCCTGGTGGAAGAACTCGTCGGTAGAGGCGTTCAAGCGGCAGACGGCGTGCATGCGCGAGCAGTACGCCGCCTACGCCCTCTCCGGGGAGCACCTCAACGGCAAGCAGACGCTCGGGGAGAACATCGCCGACAACGGCGGCCTCAAGGCGGCCTACAACGTGAGGCTCTCTGCTCCGCGGAGGATTCCACGTCGACCGTTTCGTCTCTTGCCCCCCCCCCCACCTTCCACCCTGCACCCGCCACTGTGTTCCGGTCACCCACCACTTACATTTGTGTCACCTGACCTCGCTTTCCCCCCCTGGAATGACCCCCCCGAGGAGCCGGTTTGAATCGCGAGCGGACGCCTGAATTCGGAAGCACGAGGCTCGTTGATCTGACCTCCGAACCACAAACTCGGCACACCCAGGAACCCGGATCGGCGTCGTTTTACCGTGTTCGTTAACTCGACCGAGGGAATCCGCTGGACTAAAACTCGACGAAAGCCCACGGGTTCTTCTCGGCTGCCGACTTCGGCTCGCAGGAAGAATGGCGACTGCACAAACTGCCGGCGTGTGCGCGAGTCCGCGTTGGGGGAAGAATGCCGCTCGTGCGCGCGCGTCTGTGTGTGTGTGTGTGCGCGCGTCGCTGCAGGCGAACGGTGGTGTAGCGGTTAGTGTTTCGCTACGCCACAAACCCGACGACCCGAGTTCGATTCCCGCTCACGGCCCACACCGGTGACGATTATTACCTCAACCGGTACCTGGGCCTCCCTTAGTTCGGCTCGGCCTCAAATGAGTACCTGGTGCGGTGTGTAAACATCGCCACTGGGGAGAAAAAGGCGGCCGGGCGTGGTGTTGGCCACCCACCCCCCTCGCGTGCCGTGCCGGTATTCATAGGTGCTGCTCGCCAATGGCGCTTGTCCCAAAGAAGCCTCTTAAGCGTATACGGGGGGATCGTTATCTTTGTGTGTCCGCTGCGCAGGCGTACGAGGCGTGGGTGAGCCACGCGGGGGAGGAGCCGCCCCTCCCTGCCCTTGACCTCTCCAGCCGACAGCTCTTCTTCGTGGGCTTCGCCCAGGTGCGCCGTTGTCCCTCCCGTCCCTACCGCGCCGCACTCACTGGCTCCCGCGTTTGCCCCGGCGTTAAAACACGCGCCGAGCGATTGTGAACACAGGACACGTGGATTACAGTTTCACGGAGTAACGTGAGCCGTGGCGGGTTTTACACTCTGCAGACGCAGGGGAGTGCACTTTGATGCCGGGCATTAATGTCAGTGACTCATTGCTGCCAAATGTATTTAATCACGACGTCAGACACACAGATGTGCAACAGGTATGTTGCTGCCTCCGGGGGCATGTGCCATGTGTTGTGAGGTGCGGTGCAGGTTCGTTGCGTGTGTTGAGGAACGTGCGTGTGGCAGTTAGCGCTACGCTTCGCTGCGAACACGTCGACCCGAGTTCGAGTCCCGCTCACGGCCAACACCGGTGACGATTATCTGAACCGCTCTTGGGCCACCCCTAGGTCGACTCGGCCTCAAATCAGTACCTGGTGCGGTGTGTAAACATCGCCACTGGGGAGACAAAGGCGGCTGGGCATCGTGCTGGCCACCCATCCCCTCGTGTGCCGTGCCGGCCTTTATAGGTGCTCGCTAACAGCACTTGCCCCAGGTCTGTTCAGGCCATGCGGGGGATCTTGGGTGCAGGCGTTGTGAGCCTGGTGAGTGTTTCGGAAAGTGGCGAATTTTGTTGAGCTCGTACTGTGGTGACTGCGCCACGTGCCACGGAATGTGTGGCACAGGTGTCTGGTGAGTGCGTTGAGCATGTGGCGTATGTGTGCCTTGTATTGGCGCGTGTGGCGAGGATGCTACGTGCGTTACAGGGTGCCGCGTTGAAGGTGCCGGCGCGGGCCGAGTGTGCCGAGCTCGCCCTAAGGGCACGCGCCGCGGCCGCGTCGAGCGTTTTGCCGTGCGCGTCGCTGTGTGTGCATCGCCGTGTGCGGTGCGGCGCAGGTGTGGTGCTCGGTGCGCACGGTGGAGAGCACGCACGAGGGGCTCGTCACGGACCCGCACAGCCCCGCGCAGTACCGCGTCATCGGCACCGTCGCCAACTCCCCCGAGTTCGCGCAGCACTTCAACTGCCCCCCCGACACGCCCATGAACCCCGCGAAGAAGTGCGAGGTCTGGTGAGGAGGAGGGATGAGGAGCGGGAGGAGCGGGAGGAGCGGGAGGAGCGTGGAGGAGCGTGGAGCCACGTGCACAGCGCGCCGCTGTGGGTGGGTCGGCGCCTGCAGGGACGTGCGTGCGTGCGCGCGCGCGTGCGCGTTGCTTGCGATTGCGTGAGACTGGCCGCTGGTAGACTGGAGCATGTGGTACGGCACGTGGCCACGTGCGTAGCCACGGCCGTAGCGAGCGGTATACTTGATGTGGCGTGCCGGGTCCGTAGATATATTTCGGGTCGCCGACTTCCGACAGAACCGGCTGACATTTGAAATTAAGCCCTGGAGATGTCCCTCTGAGATCAGCGTTTGACTCTACAGAACTGTGTGCCTGCGTGCATGTGAGTGTGCGCGCGTGTGCGTGTCTACTACACTGGACGCTGTCTCGTCCGAGGCGGCGCAACCCCCGGGCCAGTAGAGACGCCGGTGGCAGTGGTCGCTTCGTACGTACGTACGTACGTGTGCGCGTGCGTGTGGCTTGTTTTATTTTGGCAGTCATCGCAAGTAACAACCAAAAGTGAACACCTTCACTGGAGTCGCCTTAAATCGGAGGGACGGGCCGAAGGGCAAAGCCGTGTGACGAGGTGTCGCTGCGCGGTGACACGCGGTGACACGCAGACGCGTCATCCAGTGCCAACCGGCAAAGTACCCGCTCGCTCGCTCACCTGCCCACCGGTCCTGCCTGTCTTGCAAGCGGCCCCGCGAAGGCGCTGCCGGTGGGGGGGGGGGGGGTGGCCTTCTCACGGCGGTGCGAACTTGCTCGCGGAGATGGGGAACGACATCCAGCTCGCTCGTGAATCGCACGCGTGCGCACACACACACACAAGTAATTTGGTTGCGTTCGTCAATCGTAATTTGCGTCCAAACCGCTCGTGACGCGGCTCATTGGAAGCTGCGTTAGATTTCCTCCCCAGCAATGCCGCCGCCGCTGCTGGGGTGGCGGTGGCGTGGTGGTCGGCTCACTTGGACATTCGGTTTCTCGGCGCGGCAGTTGAAAAACTGTGGGCGAGTTTCCCAATTCCCTCCACACATCCGTCCACCCCAGCAGTATGAACGGGTGCACCTCAGTCAAGTCGATCGGCAGATCGCATGTGGTGGGGTTAAGCGCGGCTGTTCCAAAGTCATCCGGGCAGTGTTGGAAGAGTAGGCCAAATACCATCGGTGGGGGGGGGGCTCTCCAGAGCTCACTTTAGGAGAGGCCCTTCCCCGCCAGCGATCGGGGCGAGCAATGCAATTTGCAGGGCTTGCCCCTCTACCTTTGCACGTGCCCTGCGGTAGTTTGTGAGCTGACCGTATTTTCCCCATCTCTGCTTGAAGCGAGGCGCGCCCTAGCAGCTGGAGGCCCCCGCCCGCGGCTCGCCGTGGCGGACGCGGTCGGGACGGGCCGCACCGCCGGTACGTTACCCCCGATGGCGCCGTCCCGCCGGCCGGGGAGAGCGTGGCGGGGGGGGGGGAGCGCCGCTCCGCTCCGCGTTGCACGGCGACCGCCCATTTACCATCGCGCGGTTTCTTTTGCGCGTTGAATGCGCTCTCTTGGGTTGTGCTCGCTTGCGTCGGCGGTGATGCCCCGCCACTGAGTGGGGGCCTTCTCCCGGGAAGGATAGCTGCTGCAGGTTTGCCAAAGAGCCCCGCCCCCCCCCCCCACCCCCCACAACCACTTCCTCCCACACAACCCAAGCTCGCCGCTGCACTTAACGCACGTTTTTCCTTTTTACGTCTTCGTATTTAAGTGTTTATTGTTTAACTGCCATGGTTTATTTATTGACATCTGTTAAAGGGAAGGTGGAATCCAGGTCCCCGGAATGTGAATGGACGGGTCCGTGGCCAGGGGTCCCTGGAATGTGAATGAACGGGTCAGGGGTCCCTGGAATGTGAATGAACGGGTCAGTAGCCAGGGGTCCCTGGAATGTGAATGAAGGGGTCAGGGGTCCCTGGAATGTGAATGAACGGGTCAGTAGCCAGGGGTCCCTGGAATGTGAATGAAGGGGTCAGGGGTCCCTGGAATGTGAATGAACGGGTCAGTAGCCAGGGGTACCTGGAATATGAATGAACGGGTCAGTGGCCAGGGGTCCCTGGAATGTGAATGAACGGGTCCGTGGCCAGGGGTCCCTGGAATATGAATGAACGGGTCAGTGGCCAGGGGTCCCTGGAATGTGAATGAACGGGTCAGTGGCCATGGGTCCCTGGAATATGAATGAACGGGTCAGTGGCCAGGGGTCCCTGGAATATGAATGAACGGGTCAGTGGCCAGGGGTCCCTGGAATATGAATGAACGGGTCAGTGGCCAAGGGTCCCTGGAATGTGAATGAACGGGTCAGTGGCCAGGGGTGGACAGAGCAGTTGGCGCGCGACGATTTCTGAGAGCGATTTTGGTCGCCGAATGGACCGCTCTTTGGCGGCCGAGGCAACTTGACCGTGGCACGCTGTCGTACTCGGGGGACCTTCATCCGCCGCCGGGTTTTCCACGCCGCTGGATCAAGGTTGAGGGGAGGGTGCACTGTGGGCCATGGCGCAGGCCCCAGCGCCACGAGCGGTTCGAGCGGCAGCAGCAGCCACGGAACAGCGGACAGGGGTGACGGATCGCGATGAGGGAGCGTTGCCGTGCCGTGCCGGTTTTTGAACCCTTTGACAGCATACCGATTTTTTTTCAAAGCTGCATCATATCGCTTCATGAAACAATCTAAATGCCGCTTGTTTACGCGTTAGCATTTTTTGTTCCATTTAGAAATCGGTACGCAGGCGAGAGGGTTTGATTGTCGGCAGCTTTCCCCGTTTCAATCGGTCACGCGCGGTCGGGTTCGCACCGCGGTACTTCGTTCGGCACCGTGGCGACGGGGGAGGGAGGCGAGGGAGCCCCCGGACATCGCGCCCAACCGCACGAGCCGAAAGGGCCGTACGGCGGGCACGACCGCGAGACCCTATGCAGCGCCAAGCTTCTGCGTGCGCCTGAAATGGGCGGGGGGGGGGGTAGGTGGGGGGCGGTAGGGGGGGCGGCGTTTTCAGCGGGGGCTTTCGCAGCGAGCGTCAGAAGGCAGCGGGGAGGTTAGAGGGTCCGCCGGGCTCCAGCCGCGGATGCGTAACCCCGTTGGTAGTGGGGACTCGGCCAGTGACGTACGTCACGATACGTACTCTCCAGCAGGGCAGCACGGTAGTCGACCCCCCCCTCGTGAATGTGTCTGCGGACGTGCCGACGGATCGAGCCCAGTCGACACTGGCTATCGTCTTCTTCTAGGCCAGAGGTCCCATTCCAGCGGCGTTCTCCACTAATTTTCAGATGGGGGTTTCCACTTTCGCCGGTAAGACATCATCAGTGTGAGGGCCTGCCACACACATTATTTGAAACCATTTGGGGTTTGACAGCAGCACGATGATGATGATGATGGTGGGGAGGTGTTACCACTCTGTGTTTTGTCGGGGGGGGGGGGGGGCCCGCACGTCAGGGGCCCCACTAAAGGCCACCAGGGGCCGCCAGTGACCCGCGGGCCTTGCTATGAAGAACGTTGCGCTACAGGTTCCTCTTCGCTCTATGCGGGTTCGGTTTGTGTGTGTTACTCGGCAGGCAGCTGTCTCACACACAGATGCATACAGTGTGTGTAGTGTGCGTGTACTGTGCGCTAATCAGCAGGCAGCTATCTCCTCGTGCGATTTCACTTTATGCGCCCCTTTTTATTTTGAATGCATATAATAATAATTATTTACGTTTATTATTATAAATTACATTCTAATAATTAACAATTATGCGTAAGGCACCTTCCAGTAATCTCTTAAGGCGCTACGCAGAGCGAGGGATGCCTGTAGTGTGTGGGATTGGCTGCTCTAACTTTATTTCCCCATGTGGTCACATGCACTACCTTTATACAGACCTCCATACAGACCCGTAGACTCACACTTACATGGTCCATAGACCTGTACACAGAACCATAGACTCACACAAACCACACAGTCCGTATAATTACGTCAAGACCCATACTTGCGCATATGCTTACACGATTCACAGACTCGTATACAAACGCGCGTACATGCGTATGATCCATAGATTGCAAAGGGAAGGAACATAGACTGGCATATCGATATATACAGTGAGGGAAAAAAGTATTTGATCCCCTGCTGATTTTGTACGTTTGCCCACTGACAAAGAAATGATCAGTCTATAATTTTAATGGTAGGTTTATTTGAACAGTGAGAGACAGAATAACAACAACAAAATCCAGAAAAACGCATGTCAAAAATGTTATAAATTTATTTGCATTTTAATGAGGGAAATAAGTATTTGACCCCTCTGCAAAACATGACTTAGTACTTGGTGGCAAAACCCTTGTTGGCAATCACAGAGGTCAGACGTTTCTTGTAGTTGGCCACCAGGTTTGCACACATCTCAGGAGGGATTTTGTCCCACTCCTCTTTGCAGATCTTCTCCAAGTCATTAAGGTTTCGAGGCTGACGTTTGGCAACTCGAACCTACAGCTCCCTCCACAGATTTTCTATGGTATTAAGGTCTGGAGACTGGCTAGGCCACTCCAGGACCTTAATGTGCTTCTTCTTGAGCCACTCCTTTGTTGCCTTGGCCGTGTGTTTTGGGTCATTGTCATGCTGGAATACCCATCCACGACCCATTTTCAATGCCCTGGCTGAGGGAAGGAGGTTCTCAACCAAGATTTGACAGTACATGGCCCCGTCCATCGTCCCTTTGATGCGGTGAAGTTGTCCTGTCCCCTTAGCAGAAAAACACCCCCAAAGCATAATGTTTCCACCTCCATGTTTGACGGTGGGGATGGTGTTCTTGGGGTCATAGGCAGCATTCCTCCTCCTCCAAACACGGCGAGTTGAGTTGATGTCAAAGAGCTCCATTTTGGTCTCATCTGACCACAACACTTTCACTCAGTTGTCCTCTTGAATCATTCAGATGTTCATTGGCAAACGTCAGACGGGCATGTATGTGCTTTCTTGAGCAGGGGGACCTTGCGGGCACTGCAGGATTTCAGTCCTTCACGGCGTAGCGTGTTACCAATTGTTTTATTGGTGACTATGGTCCCAGCTGCCTTGAGATCATTGACAAGATCTTCCCGTGTAGTTCTGGGCTGATTCCTCACCGTTCTCATGATCATTGTAACTCCACGAGGTGAGATCTTGCATGGAGCCCCAGGCCGAGGGAGATTGACAGTTCTTTTGTGTTTATTCCATTTGCGAATAATCGCACCAACTGTTGTCACCTTCTCATCAAGCTGCTTGGCAATGGTCTTTTAGCCCATTCCAGCCTTGTGTAGGTCTACAATCTTGTCCCTGACATCCTTGGAGAGCTCTTTGGTCTTGGCCATGGTGGAGAGTTTGGAATTTGATTGATTGATTGCTTCTGTGGACAGGTGTCTTTTATACAGGTAACAAGCTGAGATTAGGAGCACTCCCTTTAAGAGTGTGCTCCTAATCTCAGCTCGTTACCTGTATAAAAGACACCTGGGAGCCAGAAATCTTTCTGATTGAGAGGGGGTCAAAAACTTATTTCCCTCATTAAAATGCAAATCAATTGATAACATTTTTGACATGTGTTTTTTCTGGATTGTTTTGTTGTTATTCTGTCACTCACTGTTCAAATAAACCTACCATTAAAATTATAGACTGATCATTTCTTTGTCAGTGGGCAAACGTACAAAATCAGCAGGGGATCAAATACTTTTTTCCCTCACTGTACGGTGACGCACAATTACAGACAGAGGCCCACCCGCACGCTTACACAGGAACTCAACACGTCCGTCAATGAACCCTGCCTTAAAAGTAGACGTAGAATAGCCGTCGTTTCGGGCACTGGCCCTTCACGGCGAATAGGGAGGC